CAGCCTGGGCCACAAGAACAAAATTCCATATAAAAAAAAAAAAAAAAGAAAAAGAAAAAGAAAAAGAAAATACCATCTTCCCATTAAATACTTGGGCTAGAAAGCTATAAACCACTTATTCTTATTTGCTTACTGAAGCATCTACTATGTGCCTGCTGCCACCGTAAGTATTATATATTCCTGATTTGCTTTATTCCTTGAAAGTACCCTCACAGGAGGTTAATCCTACTGTATTCCATTTTATAGAGTTAGATTCCGAGGTTCAGAGAGCTTAAATAATTTTAAGCCAAAGGTGGTATAGCTAATAAATGGTGAAACTGGGATTTGATAATAGGCTTGTCTGACTCCAAAATCCCTTTTCATAATCTCATAATCACATACTACATGACTTCATCCTGGATTCCCCAATGTAATTGTTCATTGATTCTTGATAATTTTATCACTGAAATGTAACAGACAAGAGGAATGGGTTCTTTCCCTTTTTTTTTTTTTTTTTTTTCTTTGAGTCGGAGTCTCTCTCTGTCGCCCAGGCTGGAGTGCAATGGTGCTATCTTGGCTCACTGCAACCTCTGCCTCCTGGGTTCAAGCCGTTCTTCTGCTTGAGTAGCTGGGATTACAGGCGCCCACCACCACATCCAGCTAAGTTTTGTATTTTTAGTAGAGATGGATTTTCACCGTGTTGGCCAGGCTGGTTGGTCTCTTTGGCCAGGCTGGTGTTGAACTCCTGACCTAGTGATCCACCTGCCTTGGCCTCCCAAAGTGCTGGGATTACAGGTGTGAGCCACTGTGTCTGGCTGAGTTCTTTCCTTTCTTTTTTCACTGCTGTTACCTTGCTTAGACATTCATATATATTTAGATATATGTATATAGGTTTTTTCCTAATTATAAACATGATATACATTGGCTATAAGAAAATACATTACAGACCTAGATAGTGAAAGTTCCTTAACCCCAACTTCTACAGATAACCATTAACAGTATGGTACACAGTCCTCAATTTTTTCTATGTATTTGCTAGTATGTTATGTATTTAAAAATCAGATCACATAATCTCGAAATTTGCTTTTCTTATTTCATGTATCAGCACATACAAACCTACTTGGTTTTTTCGTGTCTTTTTAAAAATGTGGTAAAATACACACATGTTTTATACAAAATTCAAACGGCACAAAAGGGTATAATCATAAAAAATAGGTCTCTGTCCACCCTTGTTCTTCAGCGGCTCATCAGGAATTAGCTGTTAGAATTTCCTAGCTAGCCTTCTGGGGCACCTCATTTCTTTTCCAAACTGCATAACATCCCATTGTATGGATATTACAAATTTATTAGGACACTTATGTTGTTTACAATGCTATCACCCACTGGGATCTAAATTCTGTGTCAATCTTATTAATTACTTGTCACTCAACTTTTCTTAGCAATATGGTGTTCCACATTGTACAGCTGCACCATAATTCATTTATTCATTCCCCTGATGAAAATTTAGGTTTCAATACCTAAGAGCATTTGCACTGCTCTGAGGGCACTCGTGCTGTTCAAGCATTTCGGCCCTTTTGTCATCAATATAGTTTATGTATTCCTCCACCCAAAGAATACATAAAGTATATTGATGTGAGTTCCTCAAGGACATGGGCAGTGTTCATACTCATCTTTGTATCCTCTTAGACTATCTTCCCGCACTTGGGCTGCAGTATACATTCACCAAAGTTGAGTTGAATAACTGACTCACCCGCGCTGAGTTCTGGAATCTAGCGTGGGGAGGCGGAGCCAGGGGAAAGCCCTGCCTTTTTGGGCGGTCCCGACCTCAGAGGGCCCGGAACTTTAGTTGGAAGTATCCTTGTTTCTCAGGGACGATTTTTGGACGCGAAGCGTGCCCCGCACAAAGATGGTTGCCATGAACCGGAAGTAACTGGTTGTTTTGCTGGCTCCAGTTTTTCCGCGGGGCGGAAAAGGCATGTCTGTATGTGTCCCAACCATTTCTAGTCTTTCCTTGCAAGAACTCATGAGCAAGCTGTGGCGGCGTGGGAGTACCTCTGGGGCTATGGAGGCCCCTGAGCCGGGTAAGCGCGGATAGATCAAGCATTTTAGGCTTTTCTCAAAAAGAAGTCCCTTTCTTCTTGGAGCGTCCAGGTCCTTCGGCCACAGGTGGGAAGGAGAAAGGTGGTGCTGTTGTTATGGTAACAGCGAGTATTGCGGGAAGAGTGGGATTCGGTAGGGGCCTTAGGTTATTCAGGGCTTCCCCTGCCATTCTCTGGCCGGACACTTGACAAGCGCTCCCTCCGCAGGAGCAACCCTGGAGTTGAGCCTGGCGGGTGCCCATGGCCATGGAGTGCACAAGAAAAAACACAAGAAGCACAAGAAGAAACACAAGAAGAAACACCATCAGGAAGAAGAGGCCGGGCCCACGCAGCCGTCTCCTGCCAAGCCCCAGCTCAAACTCAAAATCAAGCTTGGGGGACAAGTCCTGGGGACCAAGAGGTGAGGTCAAAAGGGTCGAAGTTTTATAAGGGGAACTTTAGGAGCAGAGATGGTAGTTAGAAGCCGACTGGGCTTTCTAGAAGACAGACCGGACACTGTGACTTCAGGGCCCAGGTTTAGGCAGCAAGTGTCTAAGAGGGTGGGGAAAGTTGGGTGTAGCTACTGAGTAGGAGGAGACACTGGCTCATTTTAAAGAGTAGTGTTGCTTCTCTGCAGTGTTCCTACCTTCACTGTGATCCCAGAGGGGCCTCGCTCACCCTCTCCCCTTATGGTTGTGGATAATGAAGAGGAACCTATGGAAGGAGTCCCCCTTGAGCAATACCGTGCCTGGCTAGGTGAGAAGGGTCTGGAGGTGGGGAAACTGGGTTTCTTATTATATCTGACTAAGGGAAGAAGGTTGGTTCTGAAATGTGTTAGGATTTTCCATGTCCCAGTATTAACTTGGCCAAATTAGGGTACCCCATCTGAACAATTCTATTTTTCTTTCTCCAACTTTCCTTCCCAGATGAAGACAGTAATCTGTCTCCCTCTCCACTTCGGGACCTATCAGGAGGGTTAGGGGGTCAGGAGGAAGAAGAGGAGCAGAGGTGGCTGGATGCCTTGGAGAAGGGGGAGCTGGATGACAATGGAGACCTCAAGAAGGAGATCAATGAGCGGCTGCTTACTGCTCGACAGGTATGTTGGTTCATTTGTTTATTCACTCACCAAATGTGTACAGTATTGAGAACTCACCACAACCCAAGCACTTTTTGTGGCAGTGGGGATATTGGTAGTGGAGGAAAGACAAAGTTTCTGTTCTCCTGGAGCTAAGTATTCTAGTGTGTATGTTGGGGGGCTGGGAAGTAAATAAATAAATAATTTCAAAAAGCTATATGGTTTACGACAAAAAGAACAGGGTGGTGAAATACAAAGTGGCGTAAACAAAAAGAAATAGAAAGTGACAGAGGAGAGACATTTGGGTATAGTCAGAGAAGGCGTCTCTGAAGAGATAACATTTGCAATACCAGAGGAGCTTTTCCAGCAGAGACCAGCAGGTGCACAGACTGTGACACTGGAACATGCCTAGCAGAGTAAAGGAGAAGAAAAACTGGCCAAGCCACTGAAGGGTTGTACGCAGAGAAGTGACATACTTGGTTTACATTTGGATATATTAGTCTGGCATTGTTGTAGAGAATGGATTTCCGTGGAGACAAGAGATAGAAGTACGGAGACCAACTGGGAAGCTGTTGAAGTAGTCAGCTGAGAGACAGTGGTTGCTTTAACCGAGATGAAAGTGGTGGAGATGGAAATATCAGATGAATTATCGCTATATTTTGGAAGTAGATACTTGTGGGGAGAAGAATGGAGAGAAAATATATCAAGGCTAAGCCTAGGATTTTGACTTGAGCAGTCATCCAACTGATGTCTATCGAGGTAAGATTAAAAACAACAACAGACCTTTGGGAAAGCTGGTACAGAGTTTTGGTGCATAGGTCAGGCAGGTAACATTACTGATGCCTCTCTCCTTAAGAGTTAAGGACCTAAAGCTGAATGTCAAGAGATCAGGGAGGAGGCAGTATTTATGAAGAGGAACCTATGGAAGGTGTCCTGGAGCGGGTGCTCATTAATTAATATCCCGTTTCCCAACGCCTGCGTTGCTCAAGACCCTGCCTTCCGTGTCCCTTCTTTCCCCTCCCCGGCTCTGGCCGACCTCTCCTCTCCATCTTCCTCCATTTTCAGACAGCACCCTGTCTCTGTCTCTTCCCAGCGAGCTCTGCTTCAGAAGGCACGGAGTCAACCTTCCCCGATGCTGCCGCTGCCGGTGGCAGAGGGCTGTCCGGCCCCCGCCCTCACAGAGGAGATGCTGCTGAAGCGCGAGGAGCGGGCGCGGAAGCGGCGGCTCCAGGCGGCGCGGCGGGCAGAGGAGCATAAGAACCAGACTATCGAGCGCCTCACCAAGACTGCGGCGCCCAGCGGGCGGGGAGGCCGGGGGGCCGCACGGGGCGAGCGGCGGGGAGGGCGGGCCGCGGCTCCAGCCCCCATGGTGCGCTACTGCAGCGGAGCACAGGGTTCCACCCTTTCCTTCCCACCTGGCGTCCCCGCACCCACGGCGGTGTCTCCGCGGCCATCCCCCTCAGGCCCTCCTCCGCGCTGCTCTGTCCCCGGCTGTCCCCATCCGCGCCGCTACGCTTGCTCCCGCACGGGCCAGGCACTCTGCAGTCTTCAGTGCTATCGCATCAACCTGCAGATGCGGCTGGGGGGGCCCGAGGGCCCTGGATCCCCGCTTTTGGCTACGTAAGGAGGCCCTTACCTAACCCGGACTCTGCGCCCTTTCCCATGCCCGCTTTTCGAGTGTCTTCCCCACCCTATTAAATTTCATCCGGTGCTTCGGCTTGTATAGAATTGGGGGAGTGGGATGTGGTGGGCAAACCAGTCTCCGGTATACACATCTTTTGCTCCTGTCGGAGCTTGCGTCGATGCCTGGGGCTTGGAAACCGCTTCAAGAGAGCAGGCTGGTTTACGCTCAGACTCGGACAGACTTTTGGGACCCCGCCTCTTCCAGCCGGGATTACCTGGCTTGGTTGGGCATTTGGCGTCATTCCGAAAACATGGCGCAAGCCAATCAGCGGCAAATCTGCTCTTCTGAGCGGCTGTTCGTTGGTTGATAAGCCAGAGCCTGTTCTGTTGTCTGTATTGGCTATTACCGCTATCAGTCAGGGCCGTGGGTCGAACCTTCCCCCACTCTTTGTCTATACAAGCTCTTGTTGTCTGGGAGAGCTGCGAAGGCGCTGCTGTGGATTGGCTACAGGAGAAACCACTGATCTGTTCCTATTGGCCCGTCCGTCGAGGGACGATGCTGATTGGTAGGGCAGAGCAATCTGAGTCCTAGTTGGTGGAGTTCTCCCCGGATGGACGCTCCGGCCGCGGAGTGATGGTGGCGGCAGCGAAGATGGGCCGGACAGGGACCATGGCGGTGGCAGCAGAGGTGGCAGGGGCGGGGCGGCTGGCGGTAGAGGAGGCTGTGGTCCTCAGGGGGCTGTAGGTGGAGGCATGGCTCGGGCCAGCAGCGGGAACGGCAGCGAGGAGGCCTGGGGGGCACTTCGGGCGCCGCAACAGCAGGTATCCCAACAGCTCCAAAGCCTATCACGACAGCCATTTGTCTCTTCCCCTTTTCTTGTCCCTTCCTTTTGGGGGTGGGGGAGGAACTCACGGAGCCAAAGGTACTGTGAAGTTCCTAAACACGTCCCTTCCACTCTTTGTCTAAACTTTGTAACGTAGATGCAGCTGACTTTGCCTGTAGCCTCATAGACCCCATCCTATGGCTGCAATGGAAGCTTGCGGTGGCTCTCCAGTGACCAGAGGCATAGTGAGGCCCCAGGGAGGCTCCCTCTGTCTTGCAACAGTTATTTGTGATGTTTTTCTATGTGCCTATTGTCACAACAGAGTCCAGCAGCGTCTTCTCTTGAGGGAGCAATTTGGAGAAGAGCTGGAACCCAGACTCGCGCCCTGGATGCCATCCTTTATCATCCACAGCAATCCCATCTGGTTGGGAGCACTGCTCTGGGTCTCACACTGCCCTCCTCTACCCTAGGGAGCCTGAGGCCCACGGGTGGAAAGATCCAGTTGGGGGTGGGGGCAGTGAACCGTGCAGGATGACTAAAGCAACTTGCTTTGGAAATGACCTTCCCCTACTGATTGTCTGAGACTTTTAGATTATCTCAGACTGTCTTCTGGCTTCCGCCAAAACACTCCCTTAACAGAAAACACTGGGGGGATGAGGGTAGGGGGGGTTTGGGAGGGTGAGACTTGAGTGTGAAGGAAGTCTCATATATGCAGAGCTGAAATCTCCCTCTTTGTCCACACTTTTGTCTTGTTCTCTAGACTGATTCTTGCTATTCCAAATCCTCTTCCACGTTGACAGTCCTTCAGATATTTGAACACTCCTCTCAGCATCCTCCACTTCCCCCACCTCTCCAAGCTGAACTTGGTTCACAGGGTGGGATTGTGTATGTGCATGCAGGAGGTGAGGGTGGACAGTGCCCTGCGCTGGAATCCCCCTTAGTTCTAAGTGCCTCTTTGCCCCCAGCTTCGAGAGCTGTGCCCAGGAGTGAACAACCAGCCCTACCTCTGTGAGAGTGGTCACTGCTGCGGGGAGACTGGCTGCTGCACCTACTACTATGAGCTCTGGTGTAAGTCTCCAAGAGGGCTGTTTTCAGGTCCCTGTGCCCACCCTCCCTTGGACCTAGAATTTCAGCCCAAAGGGTCCCTTCTTTGCATGGGAGATGCCTGAGTTGCTCCCTCCTTGCTTCTTGCAGGGTTCTGGCTGCTCTGGACTGTTCTCATCCTCTTTAGCTGCTGTTGCGCCTTCCGCCACCGACGAGCTAAACTCCGGCTGCAACAACAGCAGCGGCAGCGTGAGATCAACTTGTTGGCCTATCATGGGGCATGCCACGGGGCTGGTCCTTTCCCTACCGGTTCACTGCTTGACCTTCGTGAGTGACTTGAGGCCCTGGGTCAGCTACCAGTGGCCCTTCCCAAACCAGGATCCCAACCATCACATTCCCTTTTCCACATATTTCAAAATATTTTTCCCTAACATAAAAACTAGTACCCTCTACCTGGTTGCCTTCAACCAATCATACCAGTTTTCTCCTCTGCAGGCCTCTTCAGCACCTTCAAGCCCCCAGCCTACGAAGATGTGGTTCACCGCCCAGGCACACCACCCCCTCCTTATACTGTGGCCCCAGGCCACCCCTTGATTGCTTCCAGTGAACAAACCTGCTGTTCCTCCTCATCCAGCTGCCCTGCCCACTTTGAGGGAACAAATGTGGAAGGTCTTTCCTCCCACCAGAGTGCCCCCGCTCATCAGGAGAGTGAGCCTGGGGCAGGGGTGAGCCCTGCCCCCACACCCCCCTCCTGCCGCTATCGCCGTCTAACTGGTGACTCGGGTATTGAGCTCTGCCCTTGTCCTGTCTCCAGTGAGGGTGAGCCAGTTAAGGAGGCGAGGGCTAGTGCCACCCTGCCAGATCTGGAGGACTACTCCCCTTGTGCACTGCCCCCAGATTCTGTACTGCAGGTCTCTCCCTTGGGGCTGGCTTCCAGTGAAGAGGACATCCCATAAGTAGTTTTGAGAAGGTGGGTGGGTTACTTGCCCACCAGAAACAGCCCTGGTCCCAACTCCTTTCGTTCCCTTTGGCCCCTTCCTGCCCACCTGCCCATCTAGAATCTGCCTGAAAGGGCCGGAGCCCTGAGGAGAGGGGCAGTATTTGGGGGACTGTGCTAGCTTTATCCCCCATGACATACACAGGAGCCTTTAATCTCATTAAAGAGATGTGAACCAGCCACTTGTGGGTTTGGATGGACTAAAGCTCAACTCACTACATTGTACTTGACTGTGTTTGAAGGAGACAGGTTATGGCCACTTGACCACACCTTCCCTGAGGACAAGTCCTGAGCCCTGGATTGATCTGAAGCCTCTTGGTGAGGCAAATCTGGCAAAAGCAATAGAGTTCAAAATGTTTTTTCCAATTTATTTAGAAAAATAGACTCTGAATTCACATTCACCCCCGGGCTATGTGGGATGACAGGAGACACCTGAGATGAAATGAGGAAAGTTTGAATTACTGGTATCTGAGGGGCTGGGGGCAGAAGCCAGACTTTGTCCCTCTAGAGCCAGAGAGGCACAGGTGGCTTGGCTCCCCTCCTTTCCCTCCCTTCAGTAATCTTCAGCCATGGCCAGTAAGACAAGGCTGGTCCAGCCGTTGAAAGGGCGGCAGCCCATTCCTCTCCCATCCCGGTCACTGTACTGCTCCCAGAGGAAGCCTGTAGACTGGTACTGGCGCCATACATTGCCTACCACGTTGGCACGGAGCTCACTGTGGAGTTTGGCAGCCCGAGCCTGGTGAGGACCCTTCAGTTGCCCATAGTGGTGGAGTGCTCCCAAGGCCAGGTAGTTGACATTGAGCCACACGGCACCCCGCCAGTAGGGAGGATCATGCTCTGAATTGCGCTGGCCATAAAAGGAGCTGGAGGCTGCAAGGGAGCGTAAGCCAAAGGGGCTCCAGAGATGGCGGCTGTCAGCTAGAATATCCAGCAGGGGCCCAAGGCGGGATGAGTTGGGGTCCAGCAGTCGCAGCAGCAAGGGAAAAAGACTGACATAGCCAAGGGCGTCTACATACTGCAGTCGAGGCTGGGGCCGGCCCACCACCCGAACCAGTCCCTGAGGGGGCCTGGGCTTCAGCTGTACTGCTTTTGTGTGATTCCCAAAGTCTGCAAAGACTCCTAGCTCTTGGGCCCAGTGCAGCTCATCCAGGCTCTCTGCTGACTCCAGTGAGGCAGCCAGTGGGCCCAGCTCAGCAGCTACCTCAGTCTCGCCCAAATACTCTGCCAGCTGTGTCAGCACACGAGCACCCAGTGCCACCCAACATCGCAGGTCCAGGTGCCGCTCAGCAACTGAAGGGTGTGAAGCCCGGGGGTAGTCATCCAGCCCAGAGGGTAGGGTCTTAGGGTTCAGTAAGGTTGGTAAGGCAGGGTCCCGTCCCCGCCAGCGGTAAGACAGTGGCACTGGGCCTGCCTGGCTCTGATGGAGCCAGGAGAACCAGGCATGCAGGCGGGGGAAGGCCTTTCGGAGGAAGGCCAAGTCATCAGGATCACCACCCTCTAGCATGTGGGCAACAGGCAAAAGTAGGGTTGGGGGGTTGGCGTGGACTGCTCGTTGCACCAGGAATTCTGGAGGCACCCGGGCTCGGGCCTCATCCCCCAGTATCTGCTCCCTCCCAATCCAGCCATCAGCATTTAGCAGCCCCAGCCAGTGGCCAAGGGCTTCCCTAGTGAGGTAGGGATCCCACCGCTGAACCACCAGCTGGTGAAAGCCCTCATCCCAAAGGAAGCCTCGTGGGAAGAATGACCGGGAGGGCACCGCTGTAAAAAGAGGTATGGGTGGAAAGAGGGCTGGGTCCACCTTCTGCTCAGACTCTTCCACCCCCATGTCTGGCAATACCAGCCCTTGTCCATAGAAGTAGCCAATTCCGCCAAGGAGATCGCTGAGGGCAGCCTGACCCAAAGCCTGCTCGCCAGGGCTCAGGCCCTTCTCCTTCAGATGGAAAGTCTTCTCAAAGCGCTCTCTAAAGGCTTCAGCATGGTTCTCCAGGGTCTGGGTCAGTAGACTGCCTGCCAGTCTTGGCAGGGCTTGATTTCCTCCTGCTTGGGCACTACCTGATTCAAACACAAACTCTACAGAAAAGGGAACTTTCAGGGTCACCTGCTGTATCAAGAATTGCCCCTGCCCTTGCCCACTGGGGCTTCTGTCCTCCCACTTCAGAGATCCTGGCAAGCCGAGGTAGCGTTCAGGGGAGGCCCCTGGAGGCCTATGCTGAAACCAGCTATTTAGGCTATTCTTTACCATCTCTGTCAGCAGGGGTAGTCCTGGGTTGGAGGTCCAGAAGACATTGTAGCTTGAAGGGAAGAAAATAAATAGAAAATATTCAGGAGAAGGCAGTGGGCATTATAAAGAGAAATACAAAGTGCTCAGGAGTCAGGTTGGGTGGTCTCAGGCAAGGGACATGGAGACTGGTGAAAATGCAAATAATTGGTAGAAAGAAGGTAGGGTGGGGGAGACAGAAATCAAAGTCAGCATCAATACCACCCCTTCCATCCCCCAACATTGTCTTCCCCCAATTACCTGCCATACTTGGGAGCTGTATCCCCTGGATTTGTTGGTGGCATAAGTGTAAAGCGGAAGTCACCAAGTTCACTGGTACGCCCACTGATGAACTTCAACTGCCCCTTGGCTTCAACCTCTGGTAGTAGGACTTCCTTGCCATCTGTCATCACATAGAAGAACAGGGAGACCAAAGGGAGGGCAGAGGTACTTGAGGCCTGAGTGACCAAGGAGGACAGAAAAGAACAGTGTTAGACTGGCATTCTCTCTTGAGAATCAGCCTTAGTAAGGGAAAGGAACAGCAGACAGGGGTAATGTAAACAACATACCTCTGGCAGTGTTGAGGGTCACTGAGTAACCAGGTACACCCAAATGGGATGAGATAAAGGGCCTTGCACTGGCTTCCCTGGGCGATTACAGTATACTTTTGTGTTATGTCCTACACTAAGAAGTCTATACAGTTTAACTTAATTCTTACAATTCTGTGAGTTAGGGCTATTATCTACACTTTACAAGCAAGGAAATCAAGGCTTAGAGATGTAGAGATGGTCATACAGACAGTTGCTTAAGGCAGGATTTAAGCCAGGCAGCCAGTCTCGGAGCCCACTTCATGCTGCATTTGCTGGCAGCAAGGGAAAGATGGAGGGGGTCTGGGCTGAGGAAAGGGTGTCCTGAGGCCCTGACCTGAGGCTCTACAGTCACTCTCCAGCTCCAGTCCCCTCCGTGCTGACCCCCAGGCCTCTTGACGAACTCAGTGGTGAGCCATAAGGCCCCATCCTGGATGTGTTGCCGCCCGAAGGAGAGGCCGTCGTGGAACTCCCAGCCATAGGGACCCACACCGTCCCCCTGCTCACACGTGTGCCTGAGCTTAGGAGTCCCCGGGGTGGTGCCCTGTTGCGCCCACATCAGTCCTGGGGGTAGAATGGCCACGTAAGTCAAAGAGCAGGGGACCTGTTCCTCCGGGTCTCCGGGTCATCCCTCTTCATAACTCTCCTGATCCATTCCTCCCCACCCTTTCTCTGGCTTCCAGCTGGGGCGCCCAGATTAGGAGTCCGCCTGCCTGCCCGCCCTGGAGCCCGGTTACCGGTGAGGAGGGGCTTCGGGCTGCGAGTCTTCATGCCAAAGTAGACGTGAGGGCGGTAAGTTCCCCAGAAGAGGCCCGGGGCCACGGCGGGGCTGGAGGAGTTGGCCGGCAGCGCAGGAGGCGCGGAGTGCAGCGTGACCGCCCGCCGCGCACGGTGCCACGCCAGCACCCAGCGCCCCGACAGGCCCAGGGCCAAAGACAGGACCACTATGGCCACAGCCACTCCTCCAGCCGTGCTGCGCGGCGCGGCGCCCCGGCCGTCCCGCTGCCCGGGGCCTCCCCGAGCCGCCCTCTCGGCAGTCCGCACTCCCTCTGCCGGCACTGCGCGGCGCCGCCGCTCGCCCCGAGCCATCTTGGCACTGAAGTCCGCGTCGCGAGAGCTCGGAAAGGCGGCAGTGGAGCCCGGGTCCTGCCTTGCCTCTCCGGCTCCCGCCTTTCGTTTCGCGGACAGCAGTCAGATCAGCGACACCTGCCAGCCCGCGCGTCCGCCTCCCGCCGGAAGTCCCGCCTCGCCACGTCAGGCTAAGTCCCGGAGTCCGGAACCACTGCTTACGATTTTGCGTAGGGTTCCTGCACAGCGTCTGTTCTGGGCGGGAATCCGCCGGGGCTGCGCTTATCTGGCGACCCCATGGAGTTCACAGGCTCGGAAAAATCAATCTACCACTGGCCTGCTTTTTATTTTATTTTATTTTAGAGACAGAGTTTCCCTCCCGTTACCAAGGCTAGAGTTCAATGGCGAGATCCCGGCTCACCGCAACCTCTGCCTCCCGGGTTCAAGCGATTCTCCTGCCTCAGCCTCGCGAGTAGCTGGGATTATTGGCATGCGCCACCACGCCCGGCTAATTTTGTATTTTTAGTAGGGACGGACCCATGTTGGTCAGACTGGTCTCAAACTCTCGACCTTAGGTGATCCGCCCGCCTTGGCCTCCCCAAATGCTGGAATTACAGGTGTGAGCCACCTCCCCCGGCCGGCTTTTTTTTTTTTTTTTTTTAATAGCGATTATATATTAGGAACCTAAGGCTATTAGGAACCTAAGTGTAAAACACTATCTCAGGTGTTTTACATTTAATCGCCCTGTGAAAATCAGGGGCAGGAAACGTAAACTTGGTCAGGGCCATACAGCTGGAAAATGGCTTGCTTGGAACCCACATATATCTGAATCAAGCTGGATCAGTTTGCCCACACCGGTGCCTTCTTTCCTAATGAAGTTGAGAGTGCAGGAGTGGACCCAAGAGGAAGCCTGGGTTCTGTTCCAGCTGTGACTTCAGACAAATTGTTTCCACTCAGTCTGGGATTTCTTATCTAGATGAACCCTAAAAGAATGACAGTGGTGGTGCAAGTACTTAGAGAAGGCATTTTCCTCTCTACAACCCAGAAGGCAAAGAGAAAGGATGGTTTATATCCAGGTCAGAGGTTGTATGTAGAATCTGTAAGTCAGATTGACCCAGAATAGGATAGTGAACATTATTATTATTATTTTATTTTTTGAGACAGTCTTGCTTTGTCTCTCAGGCTCTAGTGCAGTGTTGAGATCTCAGCTCACTGCAATCTGCCTCCCGATCTTGATGCCTCAGCCTCCTGGGTAGCTAGGATCACAGGTGTGGGGCACCACACCTGGCTATTTTTTTGTATTTTAGTGGAGACAGGGTTTTGTCATGTTGCCCAGGCTGGTCTGGAATTCTTGAGCTCAAGCAATCCACCCACCTCAGCCTCCCAAAGTGCTGGGATTACAGGCGTGAGCCACCCCACCTGGCAGTGAACATTTGATGGCATTTCAGAAATGCAGCTTAGATTCATAGTTACTGATTTCTCACCAACAGCCCAACCTAGAAGATACTTATATAAAGAAGTCTATCCCATCCTTTAAAACAAACAAAAAACCACTCTATTGTATATCCTTACGTCCCCTAGCTATCATCACACTTCCCATTCAAACTCATTATGTAAGACTAATGCAGCCTGGTGTGGTGGCTCACGCCTGTAATCCCAACAATTTAGAAGGCTGAGGTGGCTGTATCACCTGAAGTCAGGGGTTTGAGACCAGCCTCGTCAAAATGGCAAAACTTCATCTCCACTAAAACACAAAAATTAGCCAGGTGTGGTGGCACATGCCTGTAATCCCAGCTACTTAGGAGGCTGAGGCAGGAGAATTGCTTGAATCCGGGAGGTGGAGGTTACAGTGAGCCGAGATTGTGCCATTTCAGCCTGGGTGACACAGCGAGACTTCGTCTGAAAGACTAATGTGGCCGGGTACCATGGCTCACATCTGTTATCCCAGGACTTTGGGAGGCTGAGGCAGGTGGAGCACCTGACATCAGGAGTTTGAGACCAGCCTGGCCAATTTGGTGAAACCCCATTTCTACTAAAAATACAAAAATTAGCCAGATATGGTGCTGGGTGCCTGTAATCCCAGCTACTCGGGAGGCTGAGGCAGGAGAATCGCTTGTACCCGGGGACAGAGGTTGTGGTGGGCCGAGATTGCGCCATTGTACTCCAGCCCAGGCAACAGGAGGGAAACACTGTCTTTAAAAAAAAAAAAAAAAAAAAAAAAAAGAATAAGGCCTCTTAGATAATAGCAGTTACTATGGTCCCAGCAATGTTGTAGGTACTTTACAGATATTAACTCATTTAATCTCTTTAACAGACCTATGAGGAAGGTACTGTTATTTTCATTTTACAAATGAAATAGACACTGGTAGATTAAATAATTTGTCCAAAGTCATATAGCTACATAACAACAAAAGTAGGATTTCGACCCCAAGCAGTCTGGCTCTTTACAACACTATACCACCTGCACCTAGCTCTCTTTTTTAAAGGGGGAGGAGAAAAACAGTCCTTTGAAGATAGCACCCTTTTAGACAGGGAAAGGGTATAATAATGCTGCTGTAGGAAGGTCATGGGAAATGTATCTGGCAAAGTACACAGCAGCCACTGTCTAGAGATCTTTTATTACCTAGCTGAGGATCGCGAAGGTGTCTAAAACAGTGGCTTTCAACCATTTTCCAACCCACAATAAGAAATAATTCCATAGTGCAACTCAGTACATGCAGATACACAGACACACACAACTTACATACAGGATTACAGATTTAAAACGAGTTTCCTAAAAGAATACTTCCAGCTGGGCGTTGGTGGTTCACATCTGTAATCACAGCATTTTGGGAGGCCAAGGCAGGAGAACTGCTTGAGTTCAGTGAGTTCAAGACCAGCCAGGACAAGATGAGGAGACCCCCCTCCCCCGCAATCTACAAAAAATTTAAAAATTAGGGCCAAGTGCAGTGGCTTATGCCTGTAATCCCAGCTACTGGGGAGGCTGAGGCAGGAGAATCACTTGAACCTGGGAGGCAGAGGTTGTGGTGAGCTGAGAGCCTGCCATTGCATTCCAGCCTGGGCAACAAGAGCAAAACTCTGTCTCAAAAAAAACCAAAAACAAAAACAACAAACAACAAACAAGAGTTGCAGATGTGGTAAGACGCAGTGGCTCACTCCTGTGATCCCAGCAGTTTGGGAGGCAGGAGGATCACTTGAGCCCAAGAGTTAGAGACCACCCCATGCAACAGGACAAAACCCCACCTCTTTTGGAAGAAGAAGAAAAAAAAAAGAATGGGAGACAGAACTGGGATAGAAAGATGATAGCTGAAAAAAACAGCACTGTCAGTGTTTTTTGTTTTTTCAGACGAGAGTCTCGCTCCATTGCCTAGGCTGGAGTGCAGTGGTGCGATTTCTGCTCACTGCAAGCTCCGCCTCTAGGATTTGAGCGATTCTCCTGCCTCAGCCTCCCAAGTAGCTGGGATTATAGGCATGTGCCACGACCACACCTAGCCAATTTTTTTGTATTTTTAGTAGAGGTGAGTTTTCTCCATGCAGGTGATCTGTCAGCCTCCGCCTCCCAAAGTGCTGGGATTACAGACGTGAGCCACTGCACCTGGCCTATCAGTGTTCACACTGAATTTGGTAAGAGTAAGAGGGCTGGGCACAGTGGCTGATGCCCAACACTTTTGGAGGCCAAGGTGGGAGGATCGCTTGAGCCCAGCACTCCAAGACCAGCCTAAGCAACATAGTGAAATCCCCTCTGCAAAAAATTTAAAAACTAACTGAACGGGGTGGTGCGTGCTGTAGTCCCAGCTTCCTAGCTACTTGGGAGGATCGACTAAGCCCAGGTTACAGTGAGCTATGATCATGCCACTGCACTCCAGCCTGAGCGACCGAAAACAGACCTGTCTTAAAAGAAAAAAAAAAAAAAAAAAAAAAAAAAAGAGGTACCTTGAATGGTAGGAGAAGCCAGAAGCCAAATTCAAAAGGGTTAAACAGTGAGTGATGGTAAGAAACTGAAATAAATTCAGGTTAATCCAGACACCCCCTGATCTAGTCTTGCTCCAGAAACATTTGTGATAGCAGGGTTTTAAGTTTTATTTTGCACTCCGTGGCCCTCCACACAGTGATTTGAATGATTAAGTGAAACCCTTCTTAGGTTAAGTGTCCTAGTCCACGCTAAAATCATCTCGTTGGTCTCTTCCGCACTTCAGCGACCAGCATCAGCGCCCGGCTTGTCCCCGCTGCCCGCCGCCTCCCTGGCCCGGATGTGGGAAGCGAAGGCACTGAGCATTTCCAGAGCTGTGAGATGGGCGCCGCGCATAATCAGGCGATACCCGTCTCCTGGGGAAGAAACAAACGAGTCAGACAGGGAGCGACTGCAGGGCTGGGGCTGAGGGGAGCGCGGGCTGCCTGCTGTCCCCTCCCGCCGGTCTCCCCACCCAAGCGCACCGAACAGCACATCCACGCAGGGCTCGGAGCCGTCGTGCCTCACATCTGCAATCACTGAACAGTTGAGATTAGTGGAGCGGACCCTCTCGCTGCTCACCGCCTGGAGGAAGGTCCTACGGTGGAAAAACACCGTGAGCGCCAGGCTGAGGGCTTAAAGCCTCGGCTGAAGGAAGGCGCATCACTTCCCGCTCCTATCCTCTTCCCCTTTTTACCTCGTCGATTCCACGTTTTTCTCGAAGGGACAGAATTGGATTCGAACCTGCTTGACGGGGCGTAGACCCAGCCGTCCCAAGGCAGCCGCCATGGTGACCTCCACCCCGGAAGAACTCGTGCAGGCGGAAGTGTCTCATGTAATGAGACCAAGAAAGGGTGCGCTTCTGCGGGATACAGATTTCCTGCCGCCGGCAGCCAAGCAGGCTTGCGAACCGCCGCGCTGGGCTCTCCAACCCAGGCGGAGGAAGGCAGGAGGGAGAGAGGTGGTTTCGGCACAACGCATGCGTGAGCCCAAAGTAGGCGGTCAGCAAATACAACCTGTCATTAATAGTCCTCTCACACCACGGTGAAAACCATAAATAAATGGCACAAAAACCTCTTTGCACGAAAATACGCCTGTTTTCTGCAACCCTTCCCCTTCTGTACCCTGCTGGGCCAGATTTAGGCTAACTCGATCTTAAGTCCTGGCCCCTTCCAAAGAGACAGCACCAACACAAGCCGGGATGATCCACACCAGGCGATAAACACCATTCAGGTAATTTAAACACGGTGAGCTCTGAACAGCCAAAGCTTAAACGTGAAAGTACTACCGCCCAATATTCGTAAATGACTGAAAATAGTAATGGGAAGAGCAGTACAGGGTAATACTGTCCTTGGGGCTGATCCAGGTGTAGAAATGCCTATTACACCTCTGTGGTTCCCCACGTTACATGTAAATTTTTGGTGCTGCAAAAGAAGTAGCACTCGAATATAAATTTCCTCCACAAGGCAATTTACTTTTTTTTTTTTTTTTTTTTTTGAGATAGAGTCTTACTACTGTGTCACCAAGCTGGAGTGCAGTGGCGATGTTGGCTCACTGCAACCTCTGCCTCCTGGGTTCAAGCGATTCTCCTGCCTCAGCCCCCTGAGTAGCTGGGATTACAGGCACACGTGGCTAATTTTTGTATTTTTAGTAGAGATGGGGTTTCACCATGTTGGCCAGGATGGTCTCAATGTCTTGACCTCATGATCTGCCCGCCTGGGCCTCCCAAAGTGCTGGGGTTACAGGCTTGAGCTACCATGCCCGGCTGGCAATTTACTTTTTTTTTTTTTTAAAGATGGGGTTTCACCATGTTGGTCAGGCTGGTCTTGAACTCCCGACCTCAGGTGATCCGCCCGCCTTGGCCTCTGAAGTGCTTGGATTACAGGCGTGAGCCACTACGCCCAGCCCTGGCAATTTACTAATATAGAAGGGTGAGGTTCGCCGGTGGCTGTGGCTCATGCCTGTAATCCCAGCCACTTTGGGAAGCCCAGGCGGGTGGATCACGAGGTCAGGAGTTGGAGACCCGCCTGGCCAAGATGGTGAAATCCCATCTCTACTAAAAATACAAAAAATTAGCCTGGCACAGTGGTGGGCGTCTGTAATCTCAGCTACTCAGTAGGCTGAGGCAGAGAATTGCTTGAACCCAGGAGGCAGAGGTTGCAGTGAGCCAAGACCACGCCACTGTACTCCCGCCTGGACAACAGAGCAAGATTCCGTCTCAAAAAAAAAAAAAAAAAAAGTTCAGCTCACAGATGGAACAATGGTGAGTGCACACCTAGACAAGGGAGAGGAAGGGGTACTTATTCCTGACGGAGGTAGCCCCTACTGCTGTGTCATTCCCCTTTTGGCTAGGGTTAGACCACACAGTCTAGATTAATTCTGATTGGCAATTTTAAAGAGAGCAGGGGTACCAGCCAGAGTGGTGGGATGGATAGTTTGGTGGGAAGGACAGTTAGGGGACAGGTCAGAGCAGGTAACCATGGGTGGCTCAGGTCAAAGTAGTTGACCGGGATGGTCAGGATGGAGCAGGGGACCGAGAACAGATGTGAACTACTGATTAGAACTAGTGGAGGCCGGGCGGAGTGGCTCACACCTATAATCCCAGCACTTTGGGAGGCCGAGGCAGGTGGATCACAAGGTCAAGAGATCGAGACCATCCTGGTCAACATGGTGAAACCCCATCTCTACTAAAAATACAAAAAATTAGCTGGGCATAGTGGCGCGTGCCTGTAATCCCCGCTACTCAGGAGGCTGAGGCAGGAGAATTGCCTGAACCCAGGAGGCGGAGGTTGCGGTGAGCCGAGATCACGCCGTTGCACTCCAGCGTGGGTAACAAGAGTGACACTCCGTCTCAAAAAAAAAAAAAAAAAAAAAAGAACTAGTGGAAAAGATTGTTTACTGAAACTACAAGGAAGTTCAACTTTAAAGTGGATGACAAAGAACTGAATATACTGACATACTGATTCTTTGAAGAGAAATTTATAACTCATTGCATCCAACACCCATGAATTAGCCTGGCTACTAGAACTTAAGCTGAAGTGCATTCTAGCCTCTGTTTTTCCTTTTCTTTCTTCTTCTTTTTTTTTTTTTTTTTTTTTTTTTTGAGCGGGAGTTTCACTTTTTTTAGCCAGGCTGGAGTGCAATGGCGCAGTATCGGCTCGCTGCAATCTCCACCTCCTGGGTTCAAGTGATTCTCCTGCGTCAGCTTCCCGAGTAGCTGGGATTACAGGCACCTGCCGCCACCACACCCATGTAGCCTCTGTTTTCTACAGTTTTTCCTTTTCCCTATCCCTGAACACTCAACTCTTTAGCCCTGACATGTCTTCACTGATGGAGAACTAGGCCTGAACCTCCCAAGGGTGCTGACCTTCGGGTTCCAGGCTTTGGTCTTGCTCTTTACCCTGGATTCCAAGTGCTGGAGTGATCATGGATTCTTAAGTCCAGGCTCTGTGCAGCTTGTTCTCCAGTATGCTTTCCTCCAAGCTGCCAGTTCTAGGCTTCCTTCCAGTTCTAGGCAATTCCAAATGTCTGCATTTTTCCAGCTACAGATGGGGAGCTCTAACTTTCTGACTTCTGGTCCCAGGCTCTTTAGGATTCAGGACTGGTTCCCAGGCAGGAAAGAAAAGGCAGGTGCCAGCGGGGTGGCTGGTGTTGCCTGAGGGCAAGCCAGGCCTGCTGATTTCCCACCAGGAAGGCCTTGGGGCTAGGTCCTCCTTCCCCTAGTGTGCTTTGCAGCTGAGCTGTCTGGGCTGCGGATGTTCCAGGCCCGAGAGGGGGCTCCAAACTCTCCAGGCTATTGAGGCAGCTGCTGGGCAATTCTGTGGTCTGGACCTCATGACAAGCACCTGGTAAGGCAGGAGTGGAAGGTAGGTGGCCGGTGGGGATATACTGAAGCCAGATCAGTGGTGAGAATGGGGTATGGAGCACACAAAGCAGTGAGCGAAGGGAGTGACTTACAGCAACAGGGGGGCCTCCTGTGGACATGAGACTTGGGCAGGGGCTGCTGCAACAGACATAGCAGGGCCCCATCCAGCTGCTGGAAGATGCTGAGCATGAGCAGGGTCTGGCGGAGATCAGGGGACAGGCTCCACTGCTCCTCTTCCAGCAGCGCCCTGACCACTCCAAAGTCTTGTCTGAGCTGCAGTGCTCCCTGCAGGCTAAAGGCAGAGGCGCAGTATGGCCACCTGACCCTCCAGCCTCTCCTAACTGCTCTGCCTCACCCACTTATTTATCCCCTTCCTTTTCCCAGTTTCATTCACCCCCTGCTACTTCCACCTTTACTCCTGACCTGAACCGAATCCCATGGGTAAGGATGTGGTTGAGCCAGGCACCCACGATGGCTGTCAGTGCCTGACCAAGAGCAGGGGCCTGGGCTTGGGGTGACAATCCTTGCAGTCCTTGCAATACAGGCTCCAGTACGGTGCGGACCACTAAACCAGCATACTCACTCGGAACACTGGGAAGTTCTGTAGTAAAGAGAAGACAGGATATGAGGCTGTGGAGATCCACTGAACCCCTAAATGGAGTGTTTGGGAGAAGAGGATAGGATTTTGGGAGGAAAGGGCACAGAAGCTGAAGACAAGGATGGAGACAGCAGAGTGGAACAGGGATTTGGAGGGGCTGAGACACTATTACCCCCTTGGAACCCTGGAAGGAGAAGCTAGGATGAGGAGTTACCGGGACAGAGACGAAGCCGCCAGTACCGACCCCGTGGCATGTGGAGCTTGAAAGCCTGCATGGCTTGTTTATGACATTCTTGAGAAAAGAGACTTAGTGACTCTTCAGGCAGGAGCTATAGGAATAGGGAGAAAGTAAAAGAGGCTTGTCAAATTATGATGATCCTCTAAATCTAAGGATTTCTATGTTCAACTTGGCAGCCATAAAACCCCAGAATTGTTGCATAGTTGTGTGGGCCTGGCCATTTTTTGAGAGATGCCATAGTTGTCATTGGGTTTTCCAAGAGGCCTGGACCCAAATTATGAACAAGTGCCCTATGAACAAGAGCAGGATTACCCTGCTCTTCCCAGCTTGTTTCAAAAGATGGAAAATCCTCAAGGTTAATTTTATCATCCAGAAGCTTTAAGGAAAAAAAGAGACATATCCTGCTCCCCCACCCCCCACAGAGCACATGCCAGAGAGGGGGATTGTATGATCTGTGATGGCAGAGGCTGAAGGAACAAAGGGGAATTACAGTGACCTTTTTTGGTGGGGACAGACTCTTGCTGTCACCCAGGCTGGAGTGCAGTGGCATGATCTTGGCTCACTGCAACCTCCATCTTCTGAGTTCAAGTGGTTCTCCTGCCTAGGCTCCAGAGTTGGTGGGACTACAGGAGTACACCACCATGCCTGGCTAATTTTTGTATTTTTAGTAGAGAGAAGGTTTTGCCATGTTGGCCAGGCCGCTCTCAAACTCCTGATCTCAGGTGATCCACCTGCCTCTGCCTCCCAAAATGCTGGCACTACAGACGTGAGCCACTATATCCATAGTGGCTCAGCCTACAATGATCTTTTGGTTATCACCTACAAAAGGAAGATAGGAACTGTATGTAGACCAGAAACAACGACTATTTTAACATTCTGAGACTCAGGAAGCTTTGGAATGTCCTTACATTGAAGGGCATTATTATTATATATTATTATATAATATTACATATTATTATGTATTATTAACAGCCCACTCCAGAGCAATATAACCCATAAAGCAAGAAAAGGCCTATATGCTAGTGTTGTTTATTTGGTTTGATAGGTGGTTTTGGAGGAGAGAATGCAGCAATAAAACTGATTTCTGCTCTACAGCCCATCTTGAGGGAGAGGAACTCCAATAAATATGGTTAATGGCAGCAGCTCTGTAAAGAAATGGTAGATGCCAGGGAGCCTGAAGACAGGATAGACCTCCAGACATGGAGTGGAGCCCATGTGGCTCCTGGTACATCTGACAACCTGTCTAAATCCAAAATCTTCCTTTCTTTTCCAGCAAACCCTAGCCCTCTTCTCCTTCGTTATTTATGTCAAGGAAATTACCCCTTTGTCAATGGACTTTTGTTGGGAGCCTCTGTACTCAACACAGAGGGAATACAAGGTGGATAGTATGTGACAGTCTCTCCCCCACCCACCAGGATCTTACAGTCCAAATAGGAGGAAAACTCACAATGCCTAACTTCTTTGTCATCCCAGGGCTGTATGTCCTGGAGCAGCCAGAAAAAAACGCCTAATAGTACAATCACCAGGCAGGGGAACAAAGGATGGAGATTACTTGGTACAGTGTTTGTCCTTTTTTTTTTTTTTGAAGAGATAGGATCTTGGGCCAGGCATGGTGACTCACACCTGTAGTAATCCCAGCACTTTGGGAGGCTGCAGCAAGTGGATCACTTGAGGTCAGGAGTTCAAGACCAGCCTGGCCAATATGGCAAAACCCCGTCTTTACTAAAAATACAAAAGAATTAGCAGGGCATGGTGGCACACACCTATAATTCTAGCTACTTCCACACAGGAAGCTGTGGCAGGAGGATCACTTGAGCCCAGGAGTTTGAGATTACAATGAGCTATGATTGTGCCACTACAGGCAAGAGAGATCCTATCTCTCTTTTTTTTTGAGACCAAGTCTCGCTCTGTCACCCAGGCTAGAGTGTAGTGGCACGATCTCGGCTCACTGCAACCTCTGCCTCCCAGGTTCAAGTGATTCTTGTGCCTCAGCCTCCCAAGTAGCTGGGATTACAGGCACGTGCTACCACACCCAACTAATTTTTTTGTATTTTTAGTAGAGATGGGATTTTGCCATGTTGGCCAGGCTGGTCTGAAACTCCTGACCTCAGGTGATCCGCCTGCCTCAGCCTCTCAAAGTGCTGGGATTACAGGTGTCAGCCACTGCCCCTGGCCTTCGGTTGCCATCTTAACTGTTCCTCTTCTGCTCTTTTATTTTTTGAGATGGAGTCTTGCTCTGTCACTAGGCTATAGTGCAGTGGTGTGATCTCGGCTCACTGCAACCTCTCCCTCCCAGGTTCAAGCGATCCTCCTGCCTCAGCCTCCTGAGTAGCTGGGATTACAGGCACCTGCCACCACACTCAGCTAATTTTTGTTTGTTTTTTTTTTTTAGTAGAGATGGAGCTTCACCATGTTGGCCAGGATGGTCTTGATCTCCTGACCTCGTGATCTGCCTGCCTTGGCCTCCCAAAGTGCTGGGATTATAGGTGTCAGCCACTGTACCCAGCCTTTTTTTTTTTTTTTTTTTTTTTTTTTGAGAAAGAGTCTTACTCTGTTACCCAGGCTGGAGTGTAATTGCACAATCTCAGCTCACTACAACCTCTGCCTCCTGGGTTCAAGCAATTCTCGTGCCTCAGCCTCTGAGTAGCTGGATTACAGGCACCCACCACCATGCCCGGCTAATTTTTGTATTTTTAGTAGAGATTGGGTTTCACCATCTTGGCCAGGCTGGTCATGAACTCCGAACCTCAAGTTATCTGCCCAGCTCAGCCTCCCAGAGTGCTGGGATTACTGCCCTTCTGCTCTTACAATGTCACGCCATCGCTCATGAGATAAAGCCCAAATTCTTGCAGCTGGTGTTCATGCCCTCACAATTTGATGTCAAATTGCTTACTACTCTACCCCACACCAAACCCCAGTGAACATACCCACAAAAGGAACCTCTGCTCTGGTAAGTCCATTTCTCTGTTACTGCCCCAAAGATCGATGAACTGCCCACTTCCAGTAACCCCAGCCACTCCTCTGAGTTCCCAGCCATCATCTCCAGCCACAGGCCATGTATGGAGCCTTGTGTAAACCATATGCCCACTATAGCCTTCCTTCCTCAGGGCTTTATGACTGTCACTGTGTGCAGTACTCATGATGAGCCTGCTCTGGGGCATGTTGAGTTTAAGGAGACAGCAGTAAATTGAGGTAGAAATGTTCAACAGGCAAATGCAGATGTTTGACTAGAACTTTGGGAGCCAGGCTAGGCGTGGTGGCTCATGCCTATAATCCCAGCCCTTTGGGAGGCCAAGGCGGGTGGATTGCTTGAGCTCAAGAGTTCAAGACCAGGGCACATGTTCTAAGGATCTCCTGAAGGCTGTGTCAGGGGCCCAAATTTTTTTTTTTTTTTTTTTTTTGAGTCTCTCTCTGTTGCCCAGGCTGGAGTGCAGTAGCATGCTCTCAGCTCACTGCAACCTCTGCCTCTCAGGTTCAAGTGATTCTCCTGCTTCAGCCTCCCAAGTAACTGGGACTACAGGCGTGCACCACAATGTCTAGCTAATTTTTGTATTTTTAAAAGAGATGGGGTTTTGCCATGTTGATCAGGCTGGTCTTGAACTCCTGAACTCAGATGATCTGACTGCCTCAGCCTCCCACAGTACTGGGATTATAGGTGTGAGCCACTGCACCCACCCAAAAAAGTTTCTTAAAAAGATTTTTTTTTTTTTTTGAGGCAGAGTGTCGCTCCGTCACCCAGTCTGGATTGTAGTGACACGATCTTGGTTCACTACAACCTCTGCCTCCTGGGTTCAAGCGATTCTCCTGTCTTAGCCTCCCGAGTAGTTGGGACTACAGGTGCCCGCCACCACACCTGACTAATTTTTGTATTTTTAGTAGAGACAGGGTTTCACCATGTTGGCCAGGCTGGTCTTGAACTCCTGACCTTATGATCTGCTCAGGAACTCCTGAACCTTGGCCTCCCAAAGTGCTGAGATTATAGGCATAAGCCACCGTGCCCAGCCTAAAAGATTTTTAATAATAGTTCACGACCAGCCTTGGCCGGGTGTAGTGGCTCACGCCTGTAATCCAAGCACTTTGGAGGCCAAGGCAGGCAGATCACCTGAGGTTGGGAGTTCAAGACAAGCTTGACCCACATGGTGAAACCCTGTTTTAAAAAAAGAAAAAAAAAAAAGGAGGATGGATCCAAGATGGCCGATTAGGAGCAGCTCAGGATTGCAGCTCCCAGAGAAAGCACAGAGGGTGGGTGGACTACACATTTCCAGATGGATTTTTATTGCCCACAGACCCGGAGACTCCCAGGCAGAAGAGCCCCACGGGTTGCCAGTGTGGCTGTTTTGGCCGGCGCGGCTCTTTCAGCTGGTGCCCCGGCACGGCGGATCTCTGTACAAAATACATGTGTCCAGGCACCATTTTAGCTGGTGATTGGAGCTCGGGGAAGACAGAGTCGCCCATTCAACTGAGAGAAAAGGGGACTGAAACAGGGAGCCAGGCCAGGAGATTCCCAGGCAAAAAAGCGCCATGAATCTCAGCACGGTTGTTTCAGCCGGCGCAGTGGGTCGCCGCGTGGGAAATCACACAGATCCCAGTGCCTTTTCAACAGGCGACTGGAACACCTGCAAGACAAAAAAAAAGGCTCTGAGGCAGGGAGCCAGGTGATCAGGCTCGGCTGGTCCCACCCCCACAAAAAAACAGCAATCTGAAACGCTCTGGATTGAGAGTTTCACAGCAAGCACAGCTGAATCCAGGATGGTCCAGCTCTGTGGGGGAGGGGTGTCCGCCATTATTGAGGCACTCCATCACTATGGAGGTAGTCTGCCATTGCTGAGGCAGCCCGCCATTACAGAGAGAGTTCACCATTACAGAGAGTCCACCGTTACAGAGGTGGGCTGCCATTGCCAAGGCAGTTCTTTTTTTTTTTTTTTTTTTTAATGGATTTATTGTTATCTTACATGAAGTAATAAATGTGCAAACTTTTTTTTTTTGGAGACGGAGTTTCGCTCTTGTTACCCAGGCTGGAGTGCAATGGCGCAATCTCGGCTCACCGCAACCTCCGCCTCCTGGGTTCAAGCAATTCTCCTGCCTCAGCCT